CTCATGCCTGTCAAAATGACCATCATTAATAAATCAACAAACGAGTGCTGGCGAGGATGTCAAGGAAAGGGAACCCTAGTGTATTGTCAGTGGGAAGGCAGACTGGTGCAGACACTCTGGAAAACAGTATGGGGCTCCCTCAAAAAATTAAATGGAACTTCCTTTTGATCCAGCGATCCAACTTCTGAGAAAATATTCTAAGAATCCTGAAACACCAATTCAAAAAAATACATGCACCCCCATGTTAATAGCAGTATTGTTTATAATAGCCAAGATATATAAACAGCCTGATTACCCATCAGTAGATGACTGGATAAAGAAGCTGTGGTACATTTATACAATGGAATACTACACAGCCATAAAAAGAAGGAACTCTTACCTTTTGCAACAGCATAGATGGACCAGAGACTATTATGCTAAGTGAAATAAGTCAGTCAGTAGAAGACAAATACCACATGCTCTCACTTTTATGTGGAATCTAATGAACTAAATAAACTAACAACCAAAATAGACTCAAAGGCATAGAAACATGAAACAGACTGACAGCTGTATAAAAGGAGAGGGGGAAGGGAGGGACTGGCTAAAAGAAGGTGAAGGGATTAGTCAAAGAACATATATGCATGACCCATAGACTTGGGCAGTGGTGTGGGGATTGCCTGAAGGATTGTTGGCGGGGGGGGGTGATCGGGTGGAGAGGGGCAAAGGGGAAAAAATTGGGAAAACTGTAATAGCATAAACAATAAAATATTCAAAAAAAATTAAATAAGCCCACAACTTTAACCCCAAAATTCCACTTCTAGAAACACATCTAATAGACATACTAAAAAATGTGTTATTGAAAAATATATATAAAATAATTTTTAAAAATATATGGGTATGTGCAAAAAATACTCACGTTATTTGAAATTAAATAAATAGGGCTGGTGAGAATTTTTATAATGAAACCGTTTACTCAGGAGTTCTGCTGATGTTGTAAGTTTATTTCAACCTCAGTGTATGAGAAGTTTTCCAAATGTGAGATAGACGACGATCGGTTTCTACAAGGAATCTTAGAGAATTGGCATGTCCCTTTCACATCAGCCTGTTGCTGAGATAAAGGAAGAGAAAATGAGGGCAATAATGAGGCGGAGCCAGCTCTGGTTTCTGAGATGATGGGCTGGATAACGTCACTATGCATTTGCTACTAATCTCACCCACTACGAAAAATGAGGTCCAACAAGATTGGGGAAATTTATTGTGAAATCAAGGGCTGTGAGGCTGTCTCTGACTTTCCTGCTCTGGGACCCCATGTGGGTGTCTCTCCCTGATTCCCAGCTCCTCCAGGAGAAGGCTGGAGAAATAATCACATCATCATTATCTACTCAAAAGAATTTTCTCTTGACCTATGTTCAACTGCTTTAGGGCTAAGATAGACCATGGAGTCAGACCAGTCACCCCTGGGGGTTGGTTGCCTCCTTGACACCCTTGTGAGATGCTAACCTTTGAAATTCCAAGCCACCTTCATTACCTTTGTGTCTGGAAGCAGCTATGTTCCAGCAAGATTCATCATTGAGACTGATAAGAGCTGATGTCCTTGCATCCAGGGAGGACCTGAAAGCTCTAACTGAACATGTGCATCAAGAGAGAGGAGTAGGTGAGGAGCCCTGTGACCTGATCCCAGAAGCTGCTTCCTGACAACCGCCCACAGAGGCAGGGAGCATGCTGGGAGGCAGAGGGAGTGGTGGGTAGCATTGGAATCTCTCTTGGCCTCTCTTCTCCTCCCCTCCCCTCCTTGGGACAGACCCACCTCACTTCTTTCTTCTTTCCACCGCTGCAGCTCACCTCTACCACCTCTTTCCTCCTTGCTCCTCCCCACACTCTTTCTTAAGCTCTGGTCCCCTCCCTACCTGTTCCTCTTGATCTTCCTCCACTCTGCTCTCCACAGGCCTTTGGGTCTCTGCCCATCTTCTGTCACCACCCCCTTCTCTCTCTCTCTGTCTCAGTCTGTCTCTCTTTGTCTTTCTCCATCTCTGTCTGCTTTTCTATGTGTCAGTCTCTGTCAATCTCTCTCTGTCTTGGTCTTGTCTTTGATGCTTTCCTTCCATTTTCTCTCTGTAGAATCGGTTTGCATTTTCCCTGTGTATGAAATGCCTGTGTAATGGCGTGGTCAGAGTAGGCAAAGAAGTGGGGGTGAGCAGTGGGCTTCAGGGGTCCTCACTTGTTGCACAACTGCCTTTTCCCAGGAAAGCTTCTGGAGTGCTTGTCCTGAGGTTTGCCTGCACTTCATATTTGCTTTCTTATTTTGAGATAGACTTCAGAACTCCTGTGAGCTTGGCAGAACTGGACTCTGGAGAGCCTCAGACTGGTGGTACCCCTTGCTGAGGTCCTCTGCAAGGAGGTGCAGTCCTGGGAGTGATTTCCCAGGCTGACTGAACAGGACGGGAAGGGAAGCAGAGCACAAGGCTCTCAGCACAAGCAATTCCAAAATAAGAGTATCAGCTCTACAAAGGCAGGGCTGTCCTCTTCATCTTGGAAATATTCTCAGGTCATTTTTAGGAACATGGAAATTGGATTAAAAATGATAAAATGTTCATCTTATCCCTCGATAGGTACAATGTGGTGCTTTGCCAATGGCAGGTGCTCAATAAGTATGAGTTAAGTGGTGCGTCTCTGAAACTCCTCTTTAACTTCCCATGTATGTGCTGTGGATGCTGCTTCATTCCAGGTCTTAAGCTTGTGTTTTTGCAAAGAGAGCATTGATTGAATAAATAGTGTTTAGGCTTTCAAGGAACTACTTCAGCTTCCTCTTGGGTCCTTGTTGCTTTGCCTTTGGCTGCTCTGGAGTGGCACTCTGCATCACACTGTGGCTGTGGGAGTGGGGTTGGCGGGGGGAAGGGTGTCAGGGAGGGTTGGGTGGGTATCAGTTGTTCTCCCTGCCTGCAGCTGGCTTATCCCCTGAGGGTCATTCTCACTGACACTGTATTTCGATTGTTCTTTTATTATAAGTACAAGACTTTGTGGTCAGAAGTCATGCATGTGTATGGTGGTGTATGCTGATTCTGGAAAGTGAACATTATTATCACAGGTCTGGAGTTCCTCTTCTTGGGATAGATGAGATATGGAGTGAAGAATGTGGGGTCTGCCCGGCTGGGTGGCACAGTTGGTTGGTTGTCCTGCTGCAAAGTGAAAGAAAGGTCGCCAGTTTGGTCCGGTCGCTGCCAGGGTTTCGGGCTGTCAGGTCGCTGTGCTCGTGGAGGGAGGGCAGCCAGTCAGCGTTCCTCTCCCATATCCCCTCCCTCCCTTCCCCTTTCTAAAAGAAATACTAACTTTTTAAAAGAATGTGGTGTCTGAGCATCCAGATTTTGTTTAATTGCTAAGATGAGAAGGAATGGGGTTTTTTGTTTTGTTTTATGTCTTTTGAACCATAAGTAGATTTTTTTTTCCTTTTTGCCCACTTTCTCTGTAAAGACTGTCAGTTGCTTCCATATTATTCCAGCAGTCTTTAGGAAATTGAATCAAACCAAGTGTTTGGTTTATGGAATAAAGCCTAGGTCATCCAAACTAGGTCAGGCAGGACTGCCTCACGTCACCTCACTGGGTTGGTGTGTCTCATAATAAGCTGTCCGGGGCGGAGTCCAAGACTCCTCTAGGCATTCTGGGCTTGTCTGTTGTCCTTCAAAGCCCACTGTTGGTTGTATATAGTGATGACCAATAGGAGAAATGGAAAATGACGTAGAAGCCTGCCAGTCCAGGCAGAATTATAAATATATGTTCGAGAAAATAAAATACTGAAAGCACCACACTCCTCTATGATTTTGTTCGTTTCACTGGCATTTCCCACCTCTCTGTGGAGCTCATGACTGGAGCAGCTACTTACACTTCTGTTAAAGGGAGCTGTAGATGTAAATACTTTATTTCTTAATAAGTTAAATGACCCATAGATAAAATCGTTCCAGTAGGAAACCCTGAACTATGTAAGTTACATCTGGATGTACTCAGACAGCCAGTAAACTTTGACCCAGGGCTGCAGTTTTACAAGTCTTCACTGGGCGTGGTGAGGAAAGGGGTAAGGCATTCTTTAATTTGGATGTGTGAGAGTGTCTTGAAATCCCCACGGAGGCCTCCTGCCTGGTGGACTGCGGCCATGGACTCCTATAGGCTCGATGGAGATTGATAAGGAAAATAATAGAGTTTCAGGTACTTAGCACAGCAGTGGCTATTGGCAGTGTTCTCTCTGGACCCCCTTTCGCTGTCTTTTCCCTCTTTGTCATGCGATGATGCTGATGCTGGAAATGAGAGAGGCACAGGTGAGAGTGAGTCTGAGTCATGACTTTTCAATTGGTGTGATTAGTCTGAGTCTTCACTGGTCACGTGGACAATTTGGGACCTTCAATACAAGGAAACCTTAATTCCCCATTTATCTTTTGTGTGTGCTAATATCTTTATTCCAAAAAAATTATACATTTTAATAAGTTTCTCTGAAAATTGACTTTGTAATGTATGTATATTCTGTGGGAAACAATCTTAAAGCTTGCTCAAAATTAGTTACAATAATAAAATAAATTTTAAAAATTTTCAAGTTCTGATAATGGAAAAAATAAGTAAGTGAATAAATTGGCTTAAACCCCACGTAGTTCCTAGGGGTTCGCAACCTGCTACATTGTGTTGCTTAGAAAAAGAACTGTTTTGTGGCTACCACTGAGGACCCATTTCATCTGCAAGTGGGTTTTGGATTAATTACAGTGGTGTTTGTTTGTTTGTTTGTTTGTTTTTTAAGAAAAAAACATGGTTGCTCTGTCCCACACTGTTTTCCTCTGGAAAAGTTGCAGCGTGCATTCAGGGCTCCTCTGCCCTCTCCATCTCCAGACTGTGGCTGTGCTCACACACTGGGAAAGCCCCATGTTCCTCTCCCTCTTTCCTAAGCCCCCACCATCATTAATGGTGTATCTTGTTGTCCCTGGTACAATTTAAGAATGTGTCATAAATTAAGGATGGTTCTGCATTGCCTCTTATCTGACTAGCATCTGTGGGTGTCAGCTGCCAACAAGTAGCTCGGGTGTCTGGGCCGATCCTGAATACTCACAAGCTGACACACTCTCTTCTGATAAAAGGTACCTTCAAATATGCATGTGATTTTCAATATAAATTTTGTATGCCTTAATACTTCCTGTAAGAGAATCGCTCAACCTAATACAATGACTTGGCTGGGACTTTTAAAAAGCTGGATATAAATATCGCTGGAAATTATAGAGCAAGCATAAGTACTTCACTCTGAGCTTTGCTGAGCATTTTCAGGATGCTTCTGACCACATCTGCGAAATCTGAGCTTATGCTAGAGGACAGGCAGTGCGGGGAGGGGACAGAACTAGTCTAGCAGGGTCACCCGTCCTCCCAGGGAAACTACCAAGTAATGGCAAACCTCTGACATGGTTTCAGTGGTGATAAAGAAAAGGTTTTATTCTTTTAGTTCTTATCTAATCAACCATCTTCATGTTGCTGGTATGTGTACATACATCATCTACAAATCTACATGCCCGAATTCAGACATATCTTGTTAGGGCTGTCGTGTTCAAACAGAACACATATTTATGTTCTCCAGAGAGACGTGATGTCTGTGTGGATGATAAGAATCAAAGCATTGCCAGTCTTTTTTATGTAATAGGGTATTTTATTCTCCTAATTCTGTGCAAGTTGCCACCCAAAAAAACCCAACAAACCCTGTATCTAAGATGACATTTGCATGGAGTGAAGTATTTATTTTACTGCTTCAAAGCGATCCTTTGTAGAAAAAGGTTGGTTTGTAGCAGTGGTGGCGGTGGCAGTGGCAGCAGCAGCGGTGGTGGTGGCAGTGGTGGCGGTGCTGGTGGTGAATGTTGAACCTGCAACATGTTATGTCAGAATGCTGAAGTTCTTCTTTAAAGTCAAGAGATGACTCTCTCCTTATACACAGTTCTTTTTATTTTGTATGACACTGAAGCTCTTGAAGAAGAAAAAAAACATCATACACCATTTTTCTTAATGCAGTTTCATGTTTGCTATTTTATTCCCCAGCTTTTAATTTTATAATGAGCTCTTGATGCCAGGTTTCATATAAGCGATGAACTGTCATTGTTTGATTCAAACCCACGGTGTCAGCTTCTTTGTTCTGTCATCCTGCTTGACTGATAGACCACAAGGTGGGATGGCTGACAAAGGAGCCACTGAGGTACAAGAGGGGTGTGTTCCAGACTCACTGGTGTGGCTACTAACTTTACAGTGCTGCTACAGTGTTTGTTTTATCATGATTTTCCAAGACTTCCTCCAGTGTGCCTCTTCGTTAGTCTGATCGCTCCCTCTCCCTTTCCTGCAAAACACCAGCTTAATAAACAAAACCAGCATGACCCCTTCTTTGTTCTGATCTTCATTCTGTACTTTTATGTCCAACCCCTCCCTGCCAGTGCTGCCTCTCTCCCATCACATGCAGAGGTATCCTTGGGCACAGTGAAATCGTTCAGAATTAGAAGCTATGCTCTGCATCTGCCCTGGTGGCTCCCACACACCCACGTCTACCACAACTGGTGAATGGTGGTGGTTTATTTTGGGGCTGGTATAAGAGGCTGCCTCTGGCGGCTGTGAGAATCAACTGAGGGCTGAGATTGTCATGTAATGTGGCCCCAACTCTTGTCTCCTTGCCCAGACTGCCCGCTAGAAGCTCAGCCCAAATATGTTAGAGGTGGGAAACGTTATGGGCGAAGGTCCTTACCGGAGTTTCAAGAATCTGTGGAGGAGTTTGCAGAGGTGACAGTGATTGAGCCCCTAGAAGAAGAAGAAGCAAGGCCTTTACACATCCCGGCCAGTGACCGCAATGAGGTAAGGAATCGGACAGGCGCATCGTGTGGGCCGCAGGTGTGGGTGTCCATGGATACCCACATCGCCGCAGTGCAGAGACAGGAGGCCCGAGGGAGTGAATGACTTTTCTCAGTTACCATCTCCTTGATGATCTTATTACTTGCCTTTTGGATAAATAGGCTATGTTTTCTATTGTTTGAATATTTTCATCCCTTTCAACTTTGGGAGAGTTAATGTTTCTGTGCATGCTTTGTATTTGTACATTTTGGATTCAGTTATTTTTAGATTATCTGGTGTCTGCCACTTCTCATAACTTTCTAGGAAATAGATCTCTCCTCCATGACCCTGTTGGTTTTAGTTGTGTAAAAAGCTAACAGACCCCAACCCCAAACTATAAAGCAGCATCCATGACAGGTAGGAAATGAAAGCAGTGTGTTTAGGGGCTTTGAGAGCTGGCATCTTATCTTTTGGGTGGGGGCACAGTTTTCAAATTTGGTTCTTGTCGCAGCACTCAGCAGTTGCTATGGTTCTTCTTCCCGGTTCTGGGGCACCCGGGCATGTCCGGCTCTCCAACAGTCAGGTTCGCCTGCTTCCCTCATCTCCCTGCTTTTCATCTTGCATGTTGCCATAATGTACCAGTAAAGGAGAAGCAGTAACATTTTCTTGATTCTTTCTTTATGGCTCATTTAACAGCATGCCATTTATAGAATGTGATTGAAAATGCCGTGCTGAGCAAGCTCTAAATATTTCTTGCACACCCCAGTTCAGCCTGGGGATGCGAGCATTTCAGATACTAATATAAACTGGAAAAGAGGCTAAGTGCCTCAACTTTCTGAAAGTAGTCTGTAGATTGTAGGCTGGTTTGGGGCATGTGTGTGAATGTTCAGCTCACTGCAATTTGCAGGAAGCTTGCTCCAATCACATCCCCAGCAATCAGACATCTAGCATCCTCAACTTTCCAGAATACCCACAAACCCAAAGGTAACAAAAGGGCCCAAGTACTGAGCAGAAATGAAACCAGCCACAAGTACTGCAATTTAGAAGACCCATGACTGATCTGCCAGTCAGAGGTTGCACCGTTTTTTAAAAACAAGCAATACCTATTCTCACCCCAGAAGTGAAGAGGCAGGGTCAAAAAGGTGAGCCAAAAGAGAAGAGGAAATGTAGCTAGAGAAGAAGAGAGAGAAACCGCAGAAATGGTAAAAGAGTAGTGTGGGAGAGAAGTGACAACTGAAAACAGAGAAGGCCATGAGAAGCAAGAAGGAAAACGCTGCCTAGAACATCACAGCCCTGGGGACCAGGCAGTCTGAGGCAGAGGCTACTTCCCGTCTTGGTTTGGTTGGTGTCAGGTCCTTTTGTGGGTCCCTGTGAGAATTTAGTCTGTTTCCCCCAATAAAACACATATATTCACATGCAGAAAATTTTTACATATACAGTTTTGGGGAGGCAAGTAATTTGCACACTTTGGTTATTGCAATGTTTGTAATATTTATCTTGCTGTCAGGAAGGGTATCATTTTATTATACAAAGTCTGTTTAATAACTCTCAGTGGTGTGGAATGTATCTGAGACATTTCTTTATGAAAAAAAATGGGTAAAATATGTCTCAGCATTTTAGGAGGTTAGCTTTGGTTATTTCCAGAACACTTTTAAGTCTAGTATCTTCCTTCTCCAACTATTTTTAACACCCAAGTCATTATTATTTGGTGCTAAGGAATTAAATGATTCCTTAGTTTTTAATAAGATAGTTTCTAGTTACCACCTGGGAACACACAGAAAGTTCTTGGGCAGAGCTGCTTTTGTTGCTGGCAGTATATTTCTCAAAGCCTTGTTTTATCTTACCCACTGACTTCCAGTGAGATTTACTGTTTAAAAAGTGAGACTCTGGCCTCATGTATTAATGAAGAGCGGAGGCCTGCGTCTGGGCAAAATCTTGCTACTTGCGTCTTAATAGAAGGGTATGTTGGGAGAATCTTTTCATCCCTGATGGACTTGAGCTTCTCTGACCTCTCCAGAACCTCTCGGGTGTGACCTTTTGATGCTAAATACAGAAACTTTTGTGTTCCAGGACCCACCATGAGCAGAACAACTAATAGAGGCCTGGAGGGGGTCGCTTCTCTCATGGTCTGTTCCCCCGAGGACTTCTCCTGACTCACTTTGATAGCCTGTGACATCCCTCCCCAGAAAGCCTCCAGGAGTTCCAGGCAGCACCTTTCACCCTGTCTTTTTAAATTGCTGAATATGGACTCAAACCAAAGCTCATCTAGCTGCTTTCTTGCTTAAAAATGAAGTGATCTGTGAGCTGCATTGAGCCTGTCAGTTTTGAAATCAATTCATCACTTTAAAAAATTAATAGGTTCACATGACATGTTTGATGTTCCTGTTGGCAGTAAGGAAGGCCAGTCCCAGCTTCAGGCAGTAATCGCAATAGTAGGTCACACTCACAGATGCCTGGTGACATAGTTGCATCAGGGTGTCAGTCTTATTGCATACTGTTGGGTCAAGACAGCAGTCCTGTTTCCTGGCCAGTTTTCATAGGGGCCTCGACTCAGCAGGCCAACAGAAATTCACGCTCTGGGCAGCTTGTGCTAGAAATACCCTCGCCCCTTCTACAGAAGCTGTTTAGGTCTCCCAGAGTGCTGGGTAATCTTTCCTATTCTAGGGTAGCCTCTAAGTGGGGACTCCGGAGAGGAAAAAATTCTCAGTGACCTGTGGGATTTATTTACTCTTAATTTATGAAGAGTTCAGAATCTGTCAGGAGTTCTTTATTGTACCGTTGACTTCTTTTTTCTCCCTTTCGGTTGCCTGAGGCCCTTTGGTCTCCTGCCTTTGGGTGTTAAGAATTTAATCTTCGGTTGTGTTTTGTTTTTTTTTTTTTTTTTATCAGTGGCTCATACATCTCAGCACCACTGGGCAGTATTGAAGGAGAGAGCAGGACTGGTCTCCGCTGGCGTGAATATTTCATAAGGAGCAGTCAGATGGAGAGCTGGAGACAGGCCTTCTTGGTTTTGATCACTGGTTTCCTTTGACTCCTGGATCCTGGCTCAGGGGCAGGTGGGATCTGAGCTTGCCTTTGGGCTACAGTTTCTCCTGCTCTCAGATCTGCCTGGTGGTTCCTGGGGTGACTTGAGAGTTTTTTGATGAAGGCAACAGGACCTGTAACTGTTGTCAGAAGTTAAATGGAGGGGAAGTCTAGCTGCTGTTACCCACGAGGAGACGAATTTTAGCTTTAGCTTGAATCAAATAATTATTTTATTTATCTGAGGACTTGGGTAGAGGTGGGCAATGGGATAGAATGGTGCCACAAGCACCTATAAAAGCTGTCCTCGAAGTGGCGTCCTTCCTTCTAGAAACTCGTCCTGGGGGGATATGGGAGCAAACAGTCATCTTCAGGGATAAAACAATAATCTACCCTGCCCGCTTCTTTCTAGGGTTGTTCCACAGTAGGGGAGTTGCTACAGATTGACAATTCATTCCGAGGCTCCTGGGCTAGTGGTTCTGCATCTTTCCATGGAAGGTCTACTCCCATACGTATAACTAAACTTCTAGGTAATTCTCAGTAATCATACTTCTCTGCAGTCTACCTGCACCTCCACCCTTCCCCTGCCACACAAGAAAACATAGAAATGCAGAGACAAGTGAGGAAGTGAGGGTGATGCTGGTATAGACTGCTTTCAAGCGATCAAATTTATTTTTAATGTAAGTTCCACACAAAGCTTCAGGCTTCATTAGGTGCAGCGACTTGGTGCTCCTCTCGTGACTGCTGATCGTGCACCGTTGTGATCTGGTGCCTCGGGTGAGGGCTCACATGGTTATTAGGGGGTGACATGCTCCACCACCACGACCTCATCCCCCGAATAGAATATACCAGAATAAATCTTGTTACAAGGTGTTTTCGATTATATTCAACTTTCATTTCAATTTCACATATGTTAATGCCCTAATGCAAAATGTAAACATTTTAATCATCTTCATTCTACCCTTCCCACACATTTATCCCCACCCCCCAGCTTTATTTAGGCCATTTGATTCTTTCCTGGTGAAACAGGAAATATCTAACCTAGCTACTAAGCATGCCTCCCCTACCAAGTTTAGTTTACAAGCCCATAAAGCCATTCCATAGGGAAGGACCATTGCTATCTTGCTAAGTTTTCAGCACCGACAGGTGTATTCCAGAACTGCATTTGGAAACCCTGCGGCGGAACGTGCTGACTCACACAGGACAGGTGGGTTTCCTGAAGTGGGCATCCACCGTCCCACTTGGTGTGCATCTCTGGCAAGTGGATCCCTTGGGAGTCTGACCTCTCGTTCTGGGTGGTATTGAAAGGAAAGTGGTGTTTTTTTTTTCTCTTCGTGGGATCATTTTCACTCGAGGCAATTCTACTGGGCATTCTATTCTGAATGAATCCAGGCTCACAAAGGGCACATTCTTGATTCCAACGTAAGGTGTGATTAGTGAGAAGGTTTTGGTTGTCGTCAGTCATTTTTGCTTCACTTCATTAAGAAACAAGAAGTGAGTTTTTAGTTTCTAAACAGTGCATTTCCCCCCTTTTATATGCGTATATGCTGCGGCTACTGAACTGACCCGGAATTTTATGCTCCTGTTTCTTCTGGGGGTAGGTGGAAAGGGGCAGAAAAACAAAGCCAATTCTCAATCCTGCTCTGTGTTACTCAGCCCTGGTAGGAAAGGTTGTCCGACTAACACAATTGGGGCAGCGCCACTTCGCTTTCTGTCCTCGTTGAAAACAGGGGACACCTTGTTAAGTGTTTTCCTCCACCGGGAATAAATCAGGCCTAGCAAGATTCTTATCAAGTGCGAGAGGGCTTAAACAATTATTTTTTCAACTGTAGACAATAATAGTGAAAACCAGAACCACGCAGTTTAAGCGAGGACCTGGGAGAAAAGTTAAAGCCAGTTGCTTTTTTCACTCAAGAATGGACAAGCACGCCGTCTTTGTGCTGGGACTGGCGGGTAGGAAGATGGGAGCCGGTGGGGGTTCACAAACTTAAAAAAAAAAGAAC